ATATTTCCAATTAACAGAATCACTTCGCCAAATCTCTCGATGCCATTTTTTTTTGAAATTTGATTTGAATGTCTTTGAAGACTTTGATAGCATTGATAGTCGCTCTATTAGAGGTTTTACGGTGTCTTGACAGTAATTTCGCATTCTTCAAAATGTGCAAACTTCTCAATGGGCTCTACCGTATAACAGTCGGAAATATCTAGCTGTTTTGCATTTTTCCATTGTTCAGTTTCAACTACTTGATCCAAATTAACCATTGGTCTCTCAAATTCTTGTGCGTGGAAAATTGAAATACGTTCAAGCTTATCCGAATTGATATGTGGTAAAACTGGCATGATCTCGTGTTGGTGACTAACCAAAAAACGCATATTCGCAACTTTGAGAGAATATTTCCGGGAGACGAAATTGTTATGGAGTTGATTCAAAAACTCTGAATGCGCCTCTTCCCAGACCTCATTGTCGATCATCATATCATCTCTCATGCTATCCAAACCCAAATGAATATTTTTGTCACTTCCTTTTGATGTTTCAAAATAATATCCAGATCATTCCAAACATTTCGATGAGCATATATAGTAGTATACCTAGCTCCAGTTTTCGAATCTTCCAGAATTAACTCAACGTCATATGGCCGCACTGTGACAATGATTCTCGTCATATAAGATGATGGAACGACTTCATCAATAAAATTTCGTAAATCATGGCAAACTTTTCGCATTCTCAATCTTAAAGATTGAGTCGTATTTTGAGCATAGGAAAATATAAGTAACTTACATTGATCGGAAATCCAAGTGATCCATAACAGCAGACAATACAACACCAGGCATTTCATTCAGAGATTTTTCAGATGACATTTTTGACTGGAAACAGGGAGAGAGTTGATAGAATAATCGTGCGAAACAGTATTTCAATGAGGGAAAAGAAATGTGGCTGTGCTCTACATGGAAAAGGAAAAACGTTGGAAATCGAGAACAATTATGATGAGGCAATTTTTGTGTTTGATAGTTCGCTTATCAGTTGTATGCATTCGGGTAAACAAAAAAATCAATGTGTGAAAGTGAAAGTGGTTATTTAAATATTTCAATAATTCCAAAAAAATCGGAATTTCAGATATTCGAAAATTGAAATAAAAAGGTTAACTTCAAAGGAATGAACACAGAAATATTTTCGGGTTTTTTGTGAGACGAGAGTGTGCATTCTGAACGCTGAACAGTCATCGTTTTTCACACAGCGCGTCGCTATCGTTCCGCTTTCATGCAAGACTTCAGTCGGCTCGTAACAATGCGGCACTTCCAACTATGGGTTCCCCCATCCTTTCAGCTTCATCATTAGTAACTCAAAAACAGGATTCAAAATGTATATCGAGAAACTAGTTGAATAATACACATCCACCACATAAAACATCTTCTAATCAAACAACAACATTGATCCTTCTTTTAAGTTTTATGCGAGAAAAATTCACTTGCATAATGAATTCACTTGCATAATGGGGTATCATAACTAGAAAATTGTCCTCGGTTCCGGGAATTCTTTTGTACCAAGTCCTTTCCCTGATAATACCGTCAAATAATATCTCGAACCAGCACTTCAATTCCTCGGATTCGTAACGTGACTCGTATTGAAGCGTGAAAGATTTTAGAGACTGATGGTTCAGGAGTATCTAAATTTTTTATTTAAACAGTTTAGGGATTTCAAATAACACAAACCTCTATCAGATGACGGAAAAATTCCAGTGAAATCGTGTTGACAGTAATTTCACATTCCTCAAAATGTGCAAACTTTTCGATGGGCTCTACCGTATAACAGTCGGAAATACTCACAAGGGAAGTATTTTAGAAAGGCTTTGAGAATTTTCTGAAACTTTGGTCTATAGTACTTTCGAACATGCTGATTAAAGTGCTGTTGTTATTTTTTCCCCTTATCCACTCACAAAAAAGTTTAGGCTCTTAAAGTGATTTCAGTACTAATTTCTCACTTTTGGAGTGAGTTGTCAGATTTTTTTTGCACTTTTCCACTGTTCAATTTCAACTACTTTATCCAATTTAAGCATTGGTCTCTCAAGTTCTTGTGCGTGGAAAATTGAAATACGTTCAAGCTTCTCAGAATTCATATAGGGTAAAATTGACATGATCTCGTGCTGATGTCTGATCAAAAAACGCATATTCGCAACTTTGAGAGGATATTTTCGGCCGACCAAATTGTTATGGAGTTGATTCAAAAATTCCGAACGCGCCTTTTCGCAGACCTCTTTGTCAACCTTCTCTTCCTGATTATGAAACCCCACAAAGAATGTTTTCTCAACCCCCTTTTGGTGTTTCAGAATAATATTCAGATCATTCCAAATATTTCGAAGAGCACATACCTTATCATACCGAACTTCAGTTTCCGAATCTTCCAGAATTAACTCAACGTCATATGGCCGCACTGTGAGAAGGATTTTTGTCTTAGAAGAAGATGGAGCGACTTTATCAATAAAAACTCGGAAATCATGACAAACTTTTCTCATCATCATACTGTAATAAATCCGTCGTAATTTGCCCATGGGAAAATATAAATAACTTACATTGATCGGAAATCCAAGGGATCCATAACAGCTGACAAGACAACGGGCATTTCATTCAGAAGCTTTTCAGACGACATCCTGAAAAAGTGAAAAAACTGATATTTGTGGGAAAAAATTTCTTCTTTGTGACAACAATTTCTCTTTGAAAAAGAAAAAGAAATGAGGCTGTGCGAAATCGCAATCTTCTGGAGGTGATTCATCGTGGAATGGGCATCGCTTCCCCCGCAATCACATTCCTCTATTAATTTATTTTAGACTGTAATCAGTAGAAAACCCGATCTATTGTATCACATTTATCGTCCAATAAACCATTTAGAACTAAATGCAGTACATCACTATGACAGAAATAGAGGTGGGTGAGATAGAAAGAAGAAAGAAAGTGAGAGAGAGAGAGAGAGAGAGAGAGAGAGAGAGAGAGAGAGAGAGAGAGAAGAGAAGAGGGGGAAAACTATAGAAGCAAAATCAAGCAACGACACTCCGCTATTCCGTTTTAAATCATCGGAGTTAAGTGTGAGCAATCGGTCTCGTGTTCTTGGCGCTCGTTTCAGATAGTTTTTACCAGTTTTGAAATTAATTTGTAGTTCTATTTTTTGTCGTTCAGTCTAAACTTTTTTAAATAAATTTTTTTGTTACAAATTCCAGTGGATTTTTTTTTCACGGGAGTGTGATAGTCCGGAAAATTAGTTATTACTGTGAGGTTCAATTTTTTCCTTTTTTGTCTTTCCGTCTCAAAAACGAATAATTTTCCATGTTTCCATCATCTATTTCCATCTCCACTCATCGTGTGATAAAACGTCCACTTTTTTATTTGCTTTCATTCCTTTCTCAAATGTCAACTTTCTCCTCTCCTTTTTTATCAGTTTCTTCAATTCTCATCGTTTTATTTCCGATTCTTTTTTGATTTCACATTCGTTTTCAGACAAAATGCCAACTCTCAACGAAATGCCTGAAGTAGTTTTAACTGATATAATGGACTACTTGGATTTTCGATCAATGTAAGTCCCACATATTTTAGGACTTAAATTTTACAGCAACATTTTAGAATGTTGCTTCGAAAAGTTTGCCGTGATTTTCGCACTTTTATTGACGAACTCGTACCATCTTCTTCCATAATCGGACTGGGATTGACAGTGGATCAAGAGAGGATTGAGTTGGGATTAGAAGACTCGCTTGCTGAATTCCGGAAAGTAACATATTCTAAACCAGACCAAGAAATGAACTTCTGGAAAAATTTGGAAATGATTCTCAAACATCAAAAGTCTCATTTGGAATATTTTACTGTAGATCTGGAGCCACCAGAAGAACATAAAACGTTAGATCAATCTATTCTGGAGAAATTGCATTCTGTGTTCCTTGACAAGCTCCAGAATATACTCACCTCCCGAAAAATCCCATTAAAAACCGCGAGTTTCAATTTGGTGATGGGAGATCAAAACGAGATCATGAAGATTTTGCCAAATATCGATTCGGAGAAGCTGGAGGAGATTTTAATTTTCCCTGCGACAGGACCACATATGCGAGTGTTCAAATTGGATCAAGTAGTCGAAACTGAGCAATGGAAAAATGCGAAAGAGCTGGGAACGGCGAACTTTATGGTGGAGGAACCGTTGGAGAAATTCACACATTTTGAAAGATGTCGTATTTGTGTTGACACAATTTCACTGGAGTTGTTGCGTTCGTTGAAAGAGGTTCGTGTGATTTTTTAATTTTTGATCTACAGTACCAAAAAATACGATATTTTGACTTTTTCAGTGGAAAAGAGTCAACTTGAAAGTCCTGAAAAAATAGTCCAGAATTTTCTATTTGTCTTGAAATTCCAGAGTATATCAGTCAAAAATCGAAGATCATTTTTGCAACTGACAACTTTAAAAAATATTCTTTGAAGGCTTTCAATATTCTCGAAATTCTAGAAAAATTCGGTCGATTCGTTTTTTCTGGATTTTTCTGAACATTGGCACCCATATTTCAGTTATTATGGGTCAATAAAATTTCAGATTTTCTTCAATCACCCAACACTGGAATATTTTGAACTTCATCACGAACCACATTACAAAGGCAGAGAATTGAAACATTGGTTTGAGCAGTTATTCGAAGGAACCTATCCAGATGAGGTTTATCAAGATCGTTGGTACTCCAGAATACCAGGAAATCCAGAAGACGTTCTATCAATTCGAGCCAGCTACTTCGATTGGATCACTTTTTCTCGTTGCAAATTTTCTGACACACAGATCAACGATGATATCATTTGAACTGAAATTTTTTGATAATGAACAAATTCTTTTTTTTTTTAGATCTTGTGTCTATTTTTGGAATTAATTGTTTTCTCACTATCAGATATCTTTTTCGCAATGTTTAATTTTTAAATTTTCAAAACCTAATTTTCTATACAGATGACATCTCTCAATAAAATGCCCGACATTGTTCTGTCCGCTATAATAGAAAACCTGGATTATCGATCATTGTAAGCCTTTTTAATCAAAAAATTTCAACAACAAAAAAAAAACAAATTTCAGAATGATCCTCCGTAAAACTTGCCACGATATTCGAAACTTTATCGACGATTCTATTCCGGCGTCTTCAATAACTGAGATTCAACTTAATGTGAATCCTGAACAAGTAGTTTTGGAATTCATGTATTCCGAATCTGTGTCGCAAGAAAAATTGTATTCATTATGTGGTCAGGAAGCTTTTGATCTCTTTTGGAAGGACTTTGAAATTATTCTAAAACATCAAAAACTCATTCTTAAAAGTTTTTCTGTAACTTTGGAGTACAGAAATGGTCTCAATAAGCTCGAAGCATCAGTTAGAGAGCGTGTGAATCTAAGATTCCTGAGCCAATTGAAAGCTCTTTTAGAGCCTCGAAGACGTCCATTACAAGTTGAAAAACTCGATTTAATTATGGGAGATCAGGAAAAAATCATGTGTGTTCTACCGTATATTGATGCAGATAAGATCAATGAAATCATGATTTATCCGGGACCGAAAAGAGAAACGGTAGTGTTTCCATTGGATAAAGTCGTTGAAACTGAGCAATGGAAAAATGCGAAAAAGCTCGCAACAAGCAATTTTGTAGTGGTGGAGCCTATCGAGAAATTCACTCATTTTGATAATTGCCGCATTTTTATGGATACGATTTCTGTGGAGATGATTCAAAAATTGAAGGAGGTGGGTGGTGTTGACCAGTGTGTTTTTTTTCAAACGTTCGAATTACTTAATTTCGGCAGTGCGTTATTTCGGAGTAGTAGTATTTTTCTTTTTCTAGGGAATTCGAACATGGTGGCTTATTTCTGCAAGTTTAGTTTTCTAGGCCACTATTCAAAGTGACCTAGAAATGACCTGACATCCCCTTTTTTTGTTTTCCAAAGGTCATTTACCATGCTGTGGAGTTAGAAAACTCTGCTTGAGAAAGTTAGGCCAGCATGTTAAAATAATCCAGAAAACACATCGGGAGAACTCAAGAAACCCCCTAATTTATTTTTCAAAAAATACTTCGACGCTCCGAAATAACGTACTGCCTCCAGATTAGTTTGAGTTCTTCCCGATGTGTTCTCTGGGGAATATTAACATGATGGCCTAACTTTTGCAAGTCGAGTTTTCTAGGCCACAATTGTAAATGACCCAGGATACATACCAGCTAAATATCAGGCTATTTCTATGCAATAATAATAATAATAACATATTTATTTGCAATGCATGGGGGGAAATCGATAGATAATTTGGCAAGAAATGGGACCTGTACAAATAAAAAAGTAAAATGACCAGACGGACCGACTAGAGTCCTGTAGGTCAAGTGGGAGGGATCAGAATATCATAAGGAATCGCTCCTACTCGCTTAGCAAACGCCACCGGACTGAGCTTAGAATTTATCACCTTACATACACGGTTCCACATAGACAAGTTTCTGTGAAGGAAGCAGTCAAAGTGTTGACCGTTGATTTTGAACAAATACGGGGCTCTGTTAGAATGGCTGGGAAGAATGTAGGACGACATAGAGGGAAAATGGTATGAGTTTATAACAATTTTGTGATAGGTACGAAGAACTAGAAGGGTGCGGCGATGAAGGGTGGTTAGCATAGAGAACTGGGATAGGCGATCGGTGTAGGAATTGAAGGGCATATTACATCTCTGAAAGACTTTTCTGGTGAAAAAACGAAGAGGAGATTCTAGTTTATTGGCAAGTGTGGCATTGGATGGATCGAAAAGTTCACAACCGGATAAACATTGATGACGGAGAAACTCAACTTGCAAAAGTTAGGTCACCATGGTAAATGGTCTAGAATACGCACCGGGTTAATATCACATTTTTTCTAGACCATAAACGCTAGTGACCTAGAAAACTCAACTTGCAATAGTTTAGCCACCATTGAAATGGCCTAAAATCCACATGGTGCGTTTTTTAGAGCATTTATCCTAGTGGCCTAGAAACTTTAGCAGGTGAATGTCAGGTCCTTTTCGGATCATCAATTACGGTTTTTTGTGGCCTAGGAAAATCTTGTTGGGAAAACTAGGCCAAAGATTTTTTAATCAAAATCTTCCCATTTTCCAGAATCTTCTCTTCTCCAAAACTCTCAAATCCTTTGAACTCAATCACCGACCACATTATCAATCTCCAGAACTAACGCACATATTTCGGACTGTTTTCGATGGGAGCTTTCAAGATGACGTCTACGAGGACTGTTGGTTCTCCAGAATTCCTGGGGATAATGAACATGCGTTGGTCATTCGATCATGCTACTACTCATGGATAACTTTTTCTCGTCGGGAATGGTTTATGATTAAGCCGAATTATGAGCGATTTAATTAGATTTGTCTGGATCTTTGGTTCTGAAAAGCATAAATAAATTTTGACATTGTTCGTTTGAATTCTGTTTTTCGAACTTTGAGATTCGATTTCTCTTCAAATATTTTCGTTTTTCTACCAAGCTGTTTATTAAAGGTGGGGGGACATGAGAAAAATAATGTTGTCGAAATTCCGTTCAAATATGCTCCTCGAGGAGTTGAACTTGTCGAGGCGAGTGATGAAGGTGCGGCGCCGCTACCGACTGAGCTACGCGTGCAAAGAGAAAGCCGCTGCCCGATTGCATACATAAAGGCGAGGGCGACAGCTGTACGCAGAGTGACATTAAGCGTTGTACACCGTTACGGTAGAATGCATACTCTGGCCCCAAAAATCCCCCGTAAAATCTCCTGTCCCCCCACCTTTAAGATCCATTTTCAGAAAATGTCACTAACCGACATTCCGGACCTCGCCATTACCACGATTCTTGAAAAATTGGATTTCAGATCAATGTAATTACAATTTTTTGATTTACTTCAATTTTTCAGAAATTTAAAAATTTTCAGACTAAATCTTCGAAATGTTTGTCACGGCTCACGAAAACACATTGAAAATACTATTCCTCCATTGTGGATAAGTAGAATCAAGATTACCGTAGCAACGGATAAAATTGACTTACATCTGGAAGATGTTGGATCTAGCAACTACAGTATCAGATATCTAGAAGAAGGGGTCGAAACCTTTTGGGATGATTTCCAGCGTCTTTTGAAACATCAGAAAAGCTCTCTGAACTATTTCAATCTGGTTTTACATTTTCAAGCGGACGAGAAATTGAAAGAGAAAACTATCTTGGATAAAGTGTATTCTGAATTCTTGCAACGGCTTCAAAGCCTTTTAAAATCTCAAAAACATCCACTTAAAGTCCAAAAACGCTGTTTAATTGTTGGAGATCAAAACGAAATTATGTCGATTCTTCCATATCTCGATTCAAAAGAATTGGAGGTACTATCTATTTTTCCTGGAAGAGGAGAGCATATGCAAATTTTCAAATTAGATCGAGTGGTAGAAAGTGAGCAATGGAAAAGAGCTTAGGAGCTGGAGACGGTGAATTTTATGGTGGAGGAGCCGTTGGAGAAATTTGCACATTTTTCGAATTGTCGAATTCATATTGTACAAACTATTTCCCAGGATATTATCGAGATGTTGAATGAGGCTAGTTTGATTATTATCGTTAAACCTGTATTAAAAGGGCGTACCTTTTCTAAAGCACCGACGGAGTATTCTTCCATTACAGGGGCTCTTCAATTAGGGGGCAAACAACACAATTCTGAGAGGAACTTTCTATTACAGGGCCTTTCTACAGGTTTCCCGTTAGTTTCATCAAGTTTCAAACGGTATGAAGACTACTGTATTTGCTCTAATAGAAGCCCACTGAAACGGTCAACTTCAAGCTTAGTTATCTTGATTCCTGCGAAAGATATCAAAAAGTTATCGACTGATAAATGATTTATCAGAATATCACCAATATTTTATCAGTTGACACATTTTTGGTATCTGTCACAGAAACCGAGATAAATTAGCTGAAAGTTGACGGTTTGGGAAATCTATGAGAGAAAATACGGTACCGGTTGTTTTAAGAAACACGATTGCCCAAAGACCAATAAGAAGACTTATTTCCAAAACATTTATTTCCAGAACATCTAAAAAATTTTCAGAGTCTCCAAGAATCCCCGAATCTCCAAACTTTTGATCTTCACTTTGAGCCAGATCACAGTTCACTCGTACTACGAAGAATGATCAGAAATGTGTTCAGAGAGGCATATGTTGATGAAACATCTCTAACAGATTGGTATTCCCGGATCCCTGACTCTCCAGAATATATTCTGTCGGCTAGATCCAGTTATTTCTCATGGATCACTTTTTCTCGGTCTAAAATGTAATTTTGTAGCTTTTATGTTAACATAAATTGTTCTAAATTTTTACAAAATTTTTATTTTTATCGTTTTCTGTGTGTTCGCAGTATCATATTTTGACTGTTTCCTTTTTTCAGTAATTCTAAAACTGCGTTTTCAGATGACTTTACTTTTGATTCAACTTCCAGAAAATGTTCTTGTACAAATAATGGAAGAACTAGATTTTCGCTCTTTGTGAGTCTACGATTTTTTTTTTCCAAAATTAAGACTTCGGGAAAGTTATCCGACCGACCGACCGCCGACCGATTACTCGCATTTGCGCGTCGACGTGCCAGAGAGTGTTTGCGTACGCGGCATTTTATTTTACGACACAGTAATCAATGAATGCTTCTTGTGTCGTAAAATAAAATGCTGCGTATGCAAACACTGTCTGTCGGTGGGCAGTCGACAATCTTCGACCGACCAATATGAAAGTCTTAATCGAAATTTCGTTTAGGGTCTCCCTTCGAAAAGTTTGCCACGACCTCTGTAACTTTATTGATGACGTCATTCCCTCATCTGGCATATCCGAAATCTATGTCAGAATCAACACAAAAAAGATATCTCTAAGATTTATGGATGACAATATCGATTTTCTTGATAAATCGATTCAAATCAATTATCACAATCATAAGAAAGGATGCTCAACGGTGAAAAATTCAAGTGGTGGGAAAAAGAAAAAACGAGTTGGATTGGAAGATTTCGTTATTTTCTTCTGGCAAGACCTCGAGACAGTTTTGAAGCATCAGAAATCGATTTTGAAGAATTTCAGTCTGGTTTTGGAGCATTATGAGGAGAAGATGTTGGAGAAAAAAGATCAGATTTTGACAGAATTTTCCAAAGAAATCATGGAAAAAATCAAGGAGAACTTGACATCTAGAATAGTTCCCTTGAAAGTCAAAGAAATCGATTTTGGGATAATAGATCAAATGGAGATGTTGCAAATCCTTCCATTCATAGACTCCAAAACTGTGGAAAAAATCTCAATTGGAAATTCGAAAGGAATGGGACCTCAAAATATAAAAATCGATGACATCACAAAGTTGAAGCAGTGGAAATCAGCAAGCGAAATCAAAATCAATCACGATTTTTATATTTCAGAGTCAATTTCAAGTTTTGCACATTTCCAAAAAGTGGAAATTCATATGAAAATGATAGGTTCAGATGCAGTTCGAGTTTTGAGACAAGTAAGGGATTCCTCAAAATTTCAAACTAAAAAACTATTATTTGATTTTCCAGACTTTTCAAAGTTCTCCAAACATGGATCATTTCGAAATTTACTACGATCCATCAAGGGAAAGGCAAGACTTGAGAACACTATTTGGCCATCGGTTCGATGGAAGTTACGAAGATGAAAATGGAGGAGCGAGGTGGATTTTCAAGATTCGTGGAGACCCAAAAAATGTGATATCGATTCAAACCAATATGCATTCTTGGTTGTGTATAACTAGAGTTCAATTGGCCGATATTCCGAATCTACGACTTCATTGAATTAAATTAAAAATAATTTTATTGGACTTCCGATGGCTTTTCGTTATCAATTTCGATTTTTTTGTTTCCTTTTTCAAATACACTCATTTTAGATATCTTTTGTTTGCACTTATTGTTCAAATCAAATTGGTCCCTTCAGAAGACCTAGATTTATCTTTCAAAATTATCGTAAGCGCACTAAAAATGCCCCCTACCAAATCATCCAATTTGAAGCCATTTATTTCATTTCCAGTAAAAGATTTTAAAAAGTTGTCAACTGATAAAAAGTTTATAATAATATCAAAAATATTTTGTCAGTTGACATCTTTTTGATATCTTCTACAAGAACCGAGATAGAGAGGCTCAAAGATAATACGGCGTTCTGAAAAATCTGGATTTTCGTGCAATTATTCGCTAAAGTATTTTGGCAAAATGTACTTTTTGAGATTATCAAATCTGATGATGGTGAATTAATTCAGAACATGTGTTCCAGAAAACCCCAGTATTCAATAAACGTTCATTAATCATAACTTCATACATGTTCAGAAAGTTACAGCTCGATTAGTTGTATTTGAAATACCACGGTTTGACGGATCCACAGAAGCACTTTTCGGACTCAATTGCTTTTGGAAAATTCCTGAAACATTATCATATTGTTTTCCACAAGGTGTATGAATGAATGGTTGACTAATGAATCTTACAAATTTTCAGGTTTTTTGGGTTTTTTCAATAGAATTTTTCCCTAATAGAAGCCCACCCAAATCGTCAACTTTGAGCTCAATTATCTTAATTCCTGCAAAAGACAAAACAACTTGTCAACTGGTCAAAAATTGGTGACATTATGATAAACAATTTATCAGTTGACATATTTTTGTTATCATTCACAGGAATCGAGATAATTGAGCTCAAAGTTGACAGTCTGGGTGGGCTTAAATTAAATGAAATACGGTATGAAAGAATCCTTCTATTTCAATAATTTTTCAAGCTCCTTTTTGGAGGACCCTTCTAGTAGAGGGAACTTCTATTAAAGAGACCCTTCAAATACAAGTTCTACATACAGTATCAACTTCTTTTTGAAGCTTACCTTTGATAGCTTGTCTATACGGCTTAATAATAATCAAACTTGGCAATGGATCAATTGCAGGAAACATTGAAATTGTAATAGTTATCAATTCTCCATAAACAGGAAACGCCGAACCAAAACATGAGCTCAGATAGATTACTGTAGTAGGCAAATGAATCAGAATAAGTGGAATTATAGTTTGAATAATTAGGGAATAAAATAGTTGAGCCTGCATCTTTTTCGATGGACCAGAAACAGTTTCTTGGAACTTTTTCATAGCGAAATACGTTTTTAACCCGAAGTAAATCATTGTGAAGAATGATATGCTCTGAAAAAACTTTCTCAAGTTTTGGGAAAATATCTAAAGCTCAAAAATTACCACTGAGGAGCACAGAAATATGATTCCGTAAATTTGCATCCAATCCAATTCTGATATTTCTGCATCTGGCGCTGATTTAAAAAGATATGATGAAAAATATAATAGTTTGTTTTTATCCGAATTTTCAGATTCGGCAAGTTTCCTTCTGAAAATGTTCGATTCCAGTTACAGTAACCTACATTTCTCACCTCACAAAGTGATCCATAACGTCGCTGAGTTGCCAGAAAAAATCAATGGCAAAAGCGAAGAAGAATCCAGATAATACTGGAATACTAATCCATAAGACAATCGAGTAACCAGTGGTCCATGCTTTGTTTCTGGAACTTACCGATGAATGAATTTGATTAATATACATTCTCTAACCCTGTCACAGTTAAATAACGATAAACAAAATGGATCCCAAAACTGGCAAGAGCTATACCAAACGATCCGCCCCATATCACTGAAAAAGTATTTTAAAAATGACAAAAACAATTCCAGCCCTTGAAGAATTGAACTTGCAAGCTAAATAATGGAAGTACCACGTCGCTACCGGCTGAGCTACGCGGTCGCAGGTACTGTATGCGTTCACTTTGGGAGCAATTATCTCGGTTCCGATAAGAAATATTTAAAAACCGTCAATTAATAAATTGTTTGTCATAATATAACTAATATTCAATAAGAGGACACATTTTTGATATCCCTCACAGGAACAGAGATAAATTTGCTCAAAGTTGACAGTTAGGGGGATCAGTCCATTAGAGACTTTTCGGTACTTGCACTTTGAGATAAAATATCTCGGTTCTTTCAAAAGATATCAAAAATTTGTCAACTGATAAATTGTTTATCACGACATCACCAAAATTTTATCAGTTGACAGATTTTTGATATCTCTCATAGGAACCGAGATAATTGAGCTCAACGTGCACGAATAATTCAAATAAAACTTACACATCAGTGGATAAGAAATATTCAGGGGAAGCAAAGAGCGTTCAGCACTAATTGCTGTTAGAAATATTGTATTCATTGTGAAAACTTTCTGAAAAAAAAATCGAAAAAAATTCGGTTGCTGCACATTCAATTTCTTACCGGGTGTATTAATAAGTCAATAAGCGCGTACAAAATCTCAAAACTCGACATAAATATCATAAGATATTTATAAGATCCCATAGTTTTTGGAGATTTCGTGATAATGAGGAAAATCAATAAACCATTGGTTATCAGGGAGATAATTGCGAGAATATTCTGAACGAGGAACATTTTCTAGGGAATAAACTTTTTATTCGATTCTTAAAGATTTTATACACTTGTTATTGTCATATTTCTTTTCAATTTCCGTAGTAGTATTTGTATCTCGTGCTATAAAATAATTGGAAAAGCATCAGTCGTTAGAATAGCAGAAAAGTTCGTTGTTTTTTAAAGAATCTGCTAGACAGTCAATACAGAAGACGAATACAAACATCACTAAAGACTATACATCATTATGATTAATGCATTTTTCCAGATTTTTAGTGTTCAGTGAACCGCAAATTTTCGATTTGTGATGTTGATCGAGCCATAATAGTGAGCAAGCTTTCATGACGATAAAATTTGGAAAAATATGCAAAAAACTTTGCATACCGCACTTGATGTAAGTTCATCCGTCGCTCGTCCGCTTTTCGTCCGATTGGCACTATTGTTCTTACCGGAAATGTTCTAACAGAAGACAACCTTATACGTGCACTTTGAAATCTTTCGCCTCGGTTTTTATAAGAGATATCAAAAAAACTGTCAACTAATAAATTATTTATCATAATATCACCAGTATTTTAACTGTTCACATATTTCTGATATCTCTCATAAAAACCGAAATAAATTGGCTCAAAGGGATATTTAGGAGATCAGTCTATTAGAGCGTTTTCGGTACTTGTCCTTTAAGCCCATTTATCTCGGCTCTTTTATAAGATATCAAAATTTTTTGAACTGATAATTTATTCATCATAATATCACCAATATTTTTCATAAAAGTTTGATATCTCCTCTAGGAACCAGGGTTGCAATCTGACGGGCTGGCCGGCGGGCCGGCCCGGCCCGAGGGAAAAAAACCAGGGCCCGGCCCGGCCCGGCCGGCCGGCAATTAATTTATATTTGAACGCTCGCCATTTTTATTTGCAACGATGCTCCGATATGACGAGGCGCGCATTGTTTAGCAGCCCGTGTCGATTTACGGGGGTTTGTTTTGTTTTTTTTTCGACATCCACTTCTTCGGAAATCTCAAGATATCTCTCCGAGTACTACGATCCTTCAACGAACGAATCGGTTGAGGAGTATTGGAAAAGAAAAAGATTCGAATACCCCGGACTGTACTCAGCAGCACTTTTCGTTTTTTCGATTGTTCCCAGTGAAGCCATGTGTGAGACTACGTTCAGCACTGCGTCGTTTTTGTTAGATAAAACAAAAACAAGATTACTGTACAAGCGTGTGGAGATGGTCGTTCTGGGTTCGCAAATAGCCACGAAATTTCCACACTGGCTCGACTGATTCTCTCACTAATTGTAGTGATTTTTCTAGTTAATTTTATGTTACTTTTCTATATTTTTTGTTGGATTGGTTGATATGAGCTTTAATTTTCTCCCCCGGTTTCCATTTCTTTGTTTCCCCTTGTTCATTTATACGGTTTTTACATTGTTATGCTACTTGTTAAGAAATAAATTAAAATAATTCTTCAATAATTTCTGTTTTTTCTTAAATTCGAACGGGCCGGGCCGGGCCGGGCCGGAGAAAAAATAATCTCGGCCCTTTTTTTTTTTTTTTGAAGTCCAAACTTCAACATTTCAAAAATTTTGTAGTTGATGAAATCACTAAAGATGAGCAACGTTTAGAAACCAAAGAGGCGCAGACAAGTAACATAAAACGACAATTTTATCAGTTTTGAATTCACAAATTTTCGAAACTCATTTTCAAATGACTGCTAGTTTTCAATCTAATTTTCCAATATGTAAAAGGCCAGATGTTGTTATTCGGGCAATCACAAAACAATCCGATTTCAAATCTGTGTGAGTTTTGTTTCTGAAAAATATTGAAAAATAACAAAAACTACAGGCTAACACTCAGCCAAGTATGTCGGAATTTTCGAAGGAAAAAAATAATTCACGGAATTGGTGAATCAAATCTTCCAAATACAAATTTCACCAGAATCCTCGTTTCGGCAATGATTCTTCAATTTGACTGCATGATTCTTAAATATGACTCTGAGCAGAAAACCGATGTTATTCAGTATTTGGACAAAGAAAATGGAGTTTGTGACAGAATGTTCGAGAAGAAACACACAAATTTGAAAGGCATAACTGCGTTGGATCTGGCCATGGGAGACCTAGAACGAATTTTAAAATTTCAAAAAACCGAACTGAATTCTCTATCGGTAACTGTGAATTGGTCTCCTCGCGATAGCACCCCGGTGGCCAGATTGTTCCCTGAAAAGCTGAAAAATGTGCTGAAATCAAAAATTATTAAAACCAAGAATTTGAACATATCCGCTTTTCGACAGAGTTATTTTATGGCAGTTATACCCTTTGTCGATTCTGAATTTCTTGAAAAACTTTCTATAAATCGTCCTGATGGTTTTAAACGCCGTGATAAAGATGCTTTTAATTTGGACATGGAAGAAATTGTAAGCACCGAGCAATGGAAAAAACTAGAACAGTTCGATTCTGGATCTTATAAATTTTCTCCGCCGCTGGAACAATTAGTCCATTTTTCTAATATCAACGTTCATCTGAATTCATTTTTGCTAAAAGATTTGAAGTTTTTGCGACAAGTGAGTTACGACATATTTTATCAAAATTTAAATAAACTTTCAGGCATTTTCAAAATCTTCAAACTTCAAATTCATATCAGCTATCAAGAGTTGAAAGATTTTGACGGTTTTGCAAACTTTTGGGGACAACATTGGAAACCTGGATTTCCGAAACGGCGAAACTTTTATAAGCGTCGTGAGGGGTTAATTATTTGTCATAGACCGGATGTTGAAAGCATTTCAATTCAGAAATAAGGAATACCCAAATGGGGCAGTTATTTAAAGGTGGGGGGACAGGAGATTTTTCGTAGTTTTTTTGTAGCTAGAGTATGCATTCTACCGTCACGGTGTACAACGCTTAATGTCACTCTGCGTACAGCTGTCGTCCTCGCCTTTATGTATGCAATGGAGCGGACGCTTTCTCTTTACCCGCGTGGCTCAGTCGGTAGCGGCGCCGCACCCTCAATCCTCGCCCCCCACAAGTTCAACTCCTCGAGGAGCGTATGTAAACGGGATTTCGAGAAATTTATTTTTTTTTTCATGTCCCCCACCTTTAAATAAAATGCAATTTTTAAATTTTTTCATGTTTATATTTTTCAATGTGAATATGAACCAAAAAACATTCTGACAATTCTGAAGCTTTAAATTTGGAAAGAAGGAGTTTGAAAATTTAATCGTCATTTTTTCGGTCAAATTGTTTTCTTTTCCGATTTTCTCGGATGTCATTTTTAGCTCGATTAGTCTTTTTTCCCGGTTGGTTTCAGACAATTGCACATTTTTCGCTCACTATTCTACACAAGATGACATGACTTCGTCAATGTGAAAGAATGGGTTTCCTGCTGGGTTAACCCATATGGCAAGTATGGCCCTCCCGCGGTATTTTGAAAAAGAACTGATTGAGGAGATTATCCACCCCCATCAAATGTTTGTTTGTTCTTTGGACACCTGTAACACGGAATCGACACCTAAACGAGCAGAAGACGTCGCATGCCTGCTGACGAGAGAGTATAGGATTGGAGAGAGCGCAGACACTGACCTGTCGAGAAGGGAAACTATTATACTGACCTCGTAACGAGCAGACGTACAACAGAAGGAACAAGGCATGAATGACACTTAGGTGGAGTACTGTAGGAGAGTTGTTGACGTTTTTCAAATCATATGGAACATCTAACTTTGCCTGAGGTAGGATTATCTCCGATACAAATTCTGGTACCGCGCATAGTACGTATGGATATAGGCAGACAGTTTATTTATAAATCAACAAATAGAGAATCTCAAAAAGAATAAGTAAAATTTGAAATTGGGATATTTGCGGATATCGATTCTAATGGTTGGAAGGAGTCAAGAACGATTGGGAAGGTGAATAGCGCAGGTTGAAATTGTTGCGATTTCGGTTTGGATGAGCAAGGTTTAAGAAGAGAATCAATCATGAAAACCGGGGAAGTTCTCAAACGCTGCTCAAATCCTTTGATTCTTCGCAACAGCTCTGCTGGTGGGACGACGTTTTTCCGGCGCCAGAGTCTTGTTTCCGGCTCCCTGACGTATTTTGCTTGATATCCATCATTCGTCCATTTGAATTGGAACTTGATCAATTTCCAATCACAGCTGACCTAGAAAAGTATTTTTTGAAGGTTTAACAATGCGATCGCCAAACCTCTTCTCTCAAAAGATGTCTCCAGCAGTTATCGATTTCCTTCACTCTTTCCATTTGCATACGAACATGGTCCCAGACTCGATAAGATTCTGATTCCACTCTCCTAAATTCGTCGGCCCTCCTTGACAAGTAGCTTAGTTTTTCAGTGAGATTCTCTTTTTGTTCATTCACTTCGTAAGATAGTTGATTAGAAATTACTGTAATGGTCGAGATTCCTCCATCAAATCGCTTCCACAATTCGTCGGGATTTGAGAGTTTTTGGCTCACATGATCACAAGAAGCAAACGTTTTTTGAAGTTCTTTGACAGAAATTTCGAAACTTTGTTTGATGCTAGATTGGGCCAAGAAAGAATCCAGCTTCCTTTTGATCATCATCAAGTTGTTTAGAATTTCCTGGCGCATCAGATAGTTGTATTCGTTTTTGAGATTGCAAATTCCAGTGTGCAAGCGATTTTTCTGGTCTCGAGACAACGCTTTATGAATAGACAACTTTCCCCATTGTGTCGGACGTTGCAGCAATGAAATATCAAAATGCGCTATGGCGATTTTTAGCTCTTTGAGATTCTGAAAAAGAATGAAATCTAGAGTTACGTAACAAGTTAGAAGTTTCTTACCATTGATTCAATAACCATTTGTTTCAAAAAGTTATATTTAGGTTCAGCAGAAGTTGGTGCATCACTCATTTTTTGCGGGTTTAGGGAGATGAGAACTCAAGAAAATATGCGGATAATAGTAACAAAGACACGAAAAGAAATTGGAGGATGTGCACATCGATAGACGGTCGGATGGGCGGTCCCTCCATGGCCCTCGGTGCTGCGTGTGCGCGATCATCTGCCCCCAATGAGGGCATCTGCCCAAAAGAGCACTTCGATAGCAATTCGTAGTGGTCGGAGATCTTTTTAAGTTTCAGCAGTGGCTAAGAACGACGACGTCGGAGATACGGGGGGCTTGAGGGACGAAGAAATGGTCTGTACTTGATTGATTTCGCATTGTGCACTGTTTAGTAGTGATTTCGGAATCTTAACTGTTTCTTCTTTTTGACAATCGCGGAAGAGTACTGTTGAAATTTTGAAAACTTTTCCAAAACCTACATATTAGTAATTCAATATAGTGGT